AGAGAGAGAGAGAGAGAGAGAGATTTGTTGCTGTGACAAATACCTGGAAAAAACAATTTAGAGGAGGAAAGTTTTAATTTGGTTCATGATTTCAGAGATTTCAGTCAATGTTCAAGTGGCTCTGTTGGTTTGAGCTTGATGTGAGACAGAACATCATGGCAAAAATACTTAGTGGAGAAAAGCTGCTCAGCTCATGGTAAACATGAAGGAAGAGAGATAGAGACAGAAAGAAAAGAGATCGCAGACCAGAGAAATCCTTCTAGGGCATATCCCCAGTTACCTACTCTCTCGGACTAGGCCTAACCTCCTACAATCTCCACAACCTCCTCCACAGTCCACGCTGCCATAATGGACTAATCCTTTGATGAAGTCAAAGCCCTTGTGATTCAATTAGTTCCCCAACGTCCCGTCTCTGAACATTGCCACATTGGGGAGCAAGCCTTCAATATGTGAGACTATGGAGAACACATTCCAGATTGGCAGAGATGAAAGCTGAACCCAAGACTTTTAATTTTTTATTTTGGACTACCACATGAAACAGGGTCCAAAGTGATGTATGGGATAATGAGAAAACCTTAACAGACCTGAAAAATTCCTTCCTTCCTCTCTTCCTTCTTATCTCCTTCACCTTTTCTCTTTCTTCCTTTTGTTATTTTATAGTTAGCTATTTTTTTCTTTTTTTTAAAATATTTATTTATTTATTTATTAGTCATACATGACAGTAGAATGCATTTTGATATATAATACATACATGGAATGTACATACATCAATCATATTGTCTATTCTTATAGTCAGCTATTTTTAACAACTTCTTAAGACAGACTTTAATTCACATATCAATCTTATCGTGTAGGTTTCTAATGATTGATAGTCTGAGAATTAAGAAGAGAAGCATTTGAAGAATTTTACCACATGGGAAGAAGAATAGTCAGGTGAAAAGAAAGAGCAAAGTTGTATTTTCTCTGTAAAAAATGAATTGGGATGAATGGTTGGCATTAACATTTTTTTGGTTTAACTTTTAAAATAAAAGTTTTATTTTTATAAAATGGTGGAGTGATTTATAAAATTTAAATATTCTATCAATATACAAGTGATTTAAAAATAGAATGAATTTCTTTTTGAGGAAAGATATTTTTTTTTCTTAATATAGACATTTAAGTAACAGTGGGAACCATGTTTTCAGTGAATATGTGTTAATTGAAAGACAGGTTCAACAAGGAACTTACCAAGAGCTCTCAGAATCTAACAGACATCTAACACCTAACACTTTCAGTCTTGGCTGGTTGCAGGAAAACTTCATGTCATGAAATTAGTCATTATTGTTTTTTCCTTTGTTATCAGAAGAACCTTGATCCAGAGACCAAGATTAACATCACTTTGAATCTATCTTTTCAAATTCTCATTTTCTTCCTTTGTAAAATTTAGAACATAATCTTTATGTCAGATTTTTGAAAGAGGACTGAATTAAGTTCACTTATTTTTTTTTTTTTTAATTTCTAGGACCAGATTGAACCTGTGTGCATTTCTCCTTGCTGCCAATTGAACTAAAGTGCGTGCTTTGAACAGCCAGGAGCATGCAGTCCAAAGAAAAAAAATCTCACCAACGTATTCTCCATAAGAGAACTCAGCAATGCCAGACGGCAAGCACCTCAGCCCTATGGTGGGGAGCCACCTTAGACATTGAAATCACTAACAAAGGCTCAAAAATGCAACAATAAAACACCAAAGAAACCACAAAAAGAACACCTGTTTACAGTCTGAGAACTGGTACAGGAAAGCAGAGCTTTACCTTGTTCACCCTCAGCTGTGAACATGCATATAAGAAGAATCAAGGTTTTTGCCTCTCTGTGCATGTCCTCACAGAGCTCTCTGACTTTGAACCTAGTGATCTTTCTGCTCCTCTACGCTGCTCAACTTTAGTAATGAAGTCAACCTAGTATGTATTATATGGCAGGATTACTTGTAAAGTCAAAGAAATTGTCAGATTCTGACTGTTATATTCCTAAGCATGAATGTAGCAACTGGGGAAGAAATTTCTCATGTGTCAACAAGTTCACAGCTCATAATTGCTATCAAAGTTCCTCCTTCCATTCGTTCCTTTCTTCACGTCTTGTACTGAGGATGGAACCCAGGGCCTTAAGTTAAGAACATGCCATACTACAGAGCTACACTCCCAAATCTCTGCTTTGTCTTATTTTATATTAACCCTGTTTTAGTAAGCCTTTTTGCTGCTATGACTAAAGGATCCAGCCAAAACAACTGTATAGGAGGAAAAGTTTATTTGGGGGCTCATAATTTTAGAGGTCTTAGTCCATAGAAGACCAGCTCCATTCCTGAGGGCTGGAGGTCAGGCTGAACATCTTGGCCAAAGAGTGTGGCAGAGGGAAGCAGCTCACATGGTGATTAGAAAGCAGAGAGAGAGAGAGACTTCACTCTTCATATACAAAATATATATCCCATAGCTATGCCCCCAGTGAGCCACTTCCTCCAGCCACACCCTACCTTCCTCCAGTTCCCACCCAGTTAATTCCATCAGGGATTAATTCAATGTCTTCTTTGATATAATGAGAGCAACTATGAACAGAGCAAGGAGGAAGAGCAGGAAGAAAAGACTAACATTTAACAGAGTCATGAGATGGG